AAAAAAACCTTGTAGGGTCAGCGAGTGGCAGATTGGGGACAGGACTCCCCCTCTTTGGGGTTGACTCCACAAAAAAAGGTCATATTTGGGGGGGGGCATTTTGGGGCACCCCATCCCCACTTCTTTTTGGGGTCAGGGAGAAGTGGGGTGCACCAGAGGGGGATCTTATAGGGTAAGGAATTGGGGGTCCCTCAGCCATCCCCCAAATGCTTTGTAGGGTCAGCGAGTGGCAGATTGGAGCAGAACTCCCTTTTCTTTGGGGCTGACCCCCCCAAAAAAAGCTCATATTTGGGGGAGGGGGGCATTTAGGGGCACCCCATCCCCACTTCTTTATGGGGTCAGGCAGCAGTGGGGTGCACCAGAGGGGGATCTTATAGGGTAGGGAATTAGGGGTCCCTCAGCCATCACCCAGATGTCTTGTAGGGTCAGCAAGTGGCAGATTGGGGGCAGAACTCCTTTTTCTTTGTGGCTGACTCCCCCCAAAAAAGCTCATATTTGGGGGAGGGGGGCAGTTAGGGGCACCCCATCCCCACTTCTTTATGGGGTCAGGGAGAAGTGGGGAGCCAAGAGGGGGATCTTATAGGGTAAGGAATTGGGGGACCCTCAGCCATCCCTGAAACGCCGTGTAGGGTCAGCGAGTGGCAGATTTGGGGGCAGAACTCCGCCTCTTTGTAGCTGATTCCCCCCCCAAAAAAGCTCATATTTGGGGGAGGGGGGCATTTAGGGACACCCCATCCCCACTTCTTTATGGGGTCAGGGAGCAGTGGGGTGCACCAGAGGGGGATCTTATAGGGTAGGGAATTAGGGGTCCCTCAGCCATCCCCCAAATGCTTTGTAGGGTCAGCGAGTGGTAGATTGGGAGCAGAACTCCTTTATCTTTGGGGCTGAACCCCCCCAGAAAAGCTCATATTTGGGGGGTATTTAGGGACACCCCATCCTCACTTTTTTATGGGGTCAGGGGGAGATGAAGAGCCAAGAGGGGGATCTTATAGGGTAAGGAATTGGGGGTTCCTCAGCTATCCCCCAAACGCCTTGTAGGGTCAGCGAGTGGCAGATTGGGAGCAGAACTCCCTTTTCTTTGGGGCTGACCCCCCCAAAAAAGCTCGTATTTGGGGGAGGGGGCCATTTAGGGGCACCCCATCCCCACTTCTTTATGGGGTCAGGCAGCAGTGGGGCACTTCAGAGGGAAATCTTATAGGGTAAGGAATTGGGGGACCCTCGGCCATCCCCGAAACGCCGTGTAGGGTCAGTGAATGGCAGATTTGGGGGCAGAACTCCCCCTGTTTGGGGCTGACCCCCCTCCACAAACGCCTTATTTGGGGTTTTGGGATTTTTTGGGGGGCAGATCCGTTTCATCCTCATCCAGAACCGCGCTGGGAAGACCCGCCTGGCCAAGTGGTACATGCAGTTCGACGACGACGAGAAGCAGAAGCTCATCGAGGAGGTTCACGCCGTCGTCACCGTGCGGGATGCCAAGCACACCAACTTCGTCGAGGTCGGCCCCAAAACTGCCCTTTTTCACCCCAAAAATATAAACGTTTTCCCCTGTTCTTTCCATCTCACTTCTATTTTTTGCTTCTTTTCCAGTTCCGGAATTTTAAGATCATTTATCGGCGTTACGCTGGGCTTTATTTCTGCATCTGCGTGGATGTCACTGATAACAACCTGGCTTATCTGGAAGCCATTCACAACTTTGTGGAGGTGGGGGTTAATTAACAGCGCTGTTCGTTAGCTGCCGTGTTAATTGGTCGAGCTGCTTTGCTAACAATTCTTGTTTCATCCCATCGAATCCCCATCCCATCCCTGCAGGTCCTCAATGAGTATTTCCACAATGTGTGCGAGCTCGATTTGGTCTTCAATTTCTACAAGGTGAGGTTAAGGGGGGGGGGACTTTGGGGTCCTGTGGGGTTTTTGTAGGGGAGGGGGTTTGGGGTCGTCTGTTCTGCTGGAATTTGGGGGAGTTTGGCAGGTTTTGGGGTCATCCCATCACCTTCAGGTCTTCGCGACGATGCTTGAGATCTTTGTGGTTGGCGTGAGGAGCTCCTGTCCCGCTTCCGTGCCAAATTTTGAGGGAAATGGATGGGATTTGGGGGATTTTTATGGGGTTTGGGGTCACCCCTCACATTCTTTCCCAGAATTTGGGGGAGTTTGGGGGGATTTTGGGGTCATCCCATCACCTTCAGGTCTTCGTGACGATGGCAGAGTGTTCCCAGTTGGCGTGGGGAGCTCCCGTCCTACTTCCATGCAGAATTTGGGGGAATTTTATGGGGATTTAAAGGAATTTTAAGGGATTTGGGGAGAATTTTGGGGTCTTAAG